CTTCAGCCACGCACCCAGGGACAGTGAATGACCGTTCGGCCCCCTCACTCTGATGTATGTTCTGCTGCTTTTCTGTTGCGTGTTTTACTTGTCTGTTTATGTGGTTCGAAGAACAAACAAGCCATACAGACATAAACTGCTCCGAGAAGAAGAAAAACCATGCAAACATGTTGCATGTATGTGATGATGTTGTTATGTTGCTTGTTTGACTTGTCTGTTTATACGGTTGGAAGGACAAGCCATATAGACATATAGACATAAACGTTTGGCTCCCTGCGGCGCTCCTAGAAGAAGAAAAACCATACACACATTTGTTCATGTATGTTATGCTGCTTGTCTGTGGTTTGTTTTGTTTGTCTATGTGGTTTGAAGAGAACAAGCCATACAGACAGAAACTGTTGGCGCTCCGCGCAGAGTTCTTGGATCCGCGCTTGGGCCCCTCGCCCCGGCGCGCGGAGCGCGCCAGGGGGCGGGGGGGGGGGGCCAAGCGCGGATCCAAGAAATCCACGCGGAGCGCCAAAAGTGTATGTTTATGTGTTGTATTTCTTTCAGGGGGACGTAAGACCTGGGTACAGGGGACTCGGAAATCCCCGACGAGGTCGTCAAAAAAATGACGAGGCCGAGCCTGCATTTTGACGAGGCCTCCCGCTGCAGACATCCCACGAAACTCCTCCTCGTCAAAATCTGAGGCACGGTCGTCGAAAAACGATGGCGAACCCGAGTCCTGGCAAACCCGGGTCTTACGCTCCCCCGATTCTTCTTCGAGCTCCTCCGCCACGCGCTCCAGGTGCCGGCAGCGCTCCTCGAGCTCGCGCTCCCGCTGGCCCTGCCCCTCCGCCAGCTGCTCCAGCTGCCCCACGCGCTCCGCGAGCCCCGCGGCGCGCTCCTCTCGGCCGCACGCCAGAGCGACCCTCTGCGGGGGCGGCCTGTGGCGCGCGGCCTCCGGGGAGGCCCCGTGGGGACACCACCAGAAACGCAGGCTGCTGCTGCCGGGGGGCCTCACTGACGACCTACCAAACCACCCCAGCCCGACCCGAAGACCCGAAGTTCGGGTTTTGGGGGGGGGGGCACGGGCTTCATATGTGTTTTTTCATACTGTTCCCCGACCCCCCCCCCCCCCCAACTGGCCATGGAGGCCACATCGGGGCCTTCGGGTCGGGTCGGGGTGGTCTGGTGGGCGGTGACGCTCCCCGGGCCCGCACCCACGGCCCCCCTGGCGCAGGGCCACCCTCGCGCGCAGAGCCCATTAAAACAGGGCTGGGATCGGGATAAATCGCTCCAGAGCGTTCCGTAGCGCTCTCAGAGCGTTCCGGAACGCTCTGGAGCGGCCGCGGCGCCCAATACATCCTCCAAACCCGCCGATTCTCAGAGACTTCGAGTTATCCCGATCCGATTTTGTCCCGATCTTCGCGTCGTTTTACCCGTCCTCGAGGGCGCGCCCCGCGCCCCCCGCGCGCCGCTCCGCCAGCAGCTCCAGGCGCCGCGCGTGCTCCGCGAGCCTCGCGTCGGCCCCCGCGGGCGGCGGCGCGGCCGCCAGCAGCTGCCGCTCCAGCTGCCCCACGTGCTCCCGCAGCACGGCGACCTCGGCCCGCAGGCCGGCCTGCGCCTGCTCCGCGCGCTTCAGCGCGCCGGCGTCCTCTCGGGCCGGGCGACAGGGGGGGACAGCAAAGGGGGGGGGGAGAATCAGCTCGCGTATAGCTGCTTTTCCCGGCGCCTCCCGGCGCCGGAGGCGGCTATATGTATCGAGGGATGGGCCCCTCGGTGAGGCCGAAACCAGCTGCATGCAGCAAATTTCGTACCCCCCCTTTCCCAATCGAAGGATTGCAAAAAAAAAGATTGCAAAAAAACGAAGGATTGCAAACAAACAAAAAAAACAACAACAAAAAAACAACAACAAAAAAAAAAAACCTTTCGTCCGGCCCGATCCTCGGCGGCGCGGCGGCGCTCGAGCTCGAGCTCGGCCCGGAGCCGCTCGGCGGCGTGCTCCTCGCGGGCGCGCGCTGGCACGGACTGCAGAGGCACGCAGTCGTTTGAGCAAGCACCGCCCGCCGCGGCAGTCCCGTGGGCCTGCCACGAGATTGTCTTGCAAAACACAGGGGTGAACGTGAGGACAGAAACAGTGGTACCGGGGGGGAGAAAAAAAAACAATCAGAATAGGTTTAGGGCTACAGGGCTAGAGGGCTATAGGGCTATAGGGCTATGAGGCTATAGGGCTATAGGGCTGTAGGGCTGTAGGGCTATAGGGCTATAGGGCTATAGGGCTATAGGGCTATAGGGCTATAAGGCTATTGGGCTAAAAGGCTGTAGGGCTATAGGGCTATAAGGCTATAGGGCTATAAGGCTATAGAGCTATAGGGCTGTAGGGCACCCGGGCACCCAGGCGTGCCGCCTAAATCGAAGGCGCACCTAACCTCACCATTTGAATCCGCTAGAACCCCTACACAGGCAAGTTCTGATTGGGAAATGTTCTGAGATCAGTGAAACCATTGACTAAAGTAAG